GTGCCAAGGCTGGGTGCAGTGGCTCATGCCTGTAATCCCAGCACTCTGGGAGGCCAAGGCGGATGGATCATCTGAGGTCAGGAGTTTAAGACCAGCCTGGCCAAGATGGTGAAACTCATCTCTACTAAAAATACAAAAATTATCCAAATGTGGTGGTGGGCCCCTGTAATCCCAGCTACTCAGGAGGCTGAGGCAGGAGAACCCTTGAACCTGGGAGTGGGAGGTTGCAGTGAGCCGAGATTGCACCACACCACCGCACTCCAGCCTGGGTGACAAGAGCGAGACTCCATCTAAAAAAAAAAAAAGAATCTGTGCCAAGTAAGAATCTGTGCCAAGTTGTCCACAAGTCACTGTCCCCCTCCCCCCCCACCCAATTCTGCCCTTTTGGTTCTTGAACCAATCTCCCTCCCCCGACTCCCAACGCTCCCTACCCCATTCTCTGGGCTCAGTCCTGGTTAGGGGATACTTCTCACTCTTTTCAAGGCTTCCTTGGGCAAACTCACTTCCTATTCATGCGCTAGTTGGCAAATCTGGGAAAATACTTCTAAAAGGTTTGGGGTCTGTCTTAGTCTGTTTTGTGTTGCTATAACAGAATACCACAGACTAGATAATGTATTTTAAAAAGAAACTTATTTTTCACAGTTCTGGAGGCTGGGAAGTCCAATACCAAGGTGCCAGTATCTGTTGAGGCTTTGTTGCTGCATCATCCCATGGTGGAAAGCAAGAGGTTGAAAGAGGCCAAGAGAGATTGAACTTGAAGCCTCAAGCCCTTATATAATAAGCATGAATCCATTTATGCGGGCAGAGCCCTCATGACCTAAACACCTCCCATTAGGCCCCATTTCCCAACCCTGTTGCATTGGGGACTAAATTTCCAAGACATGCTTTCTAGGGGACACATGTAAACCATAGCACGGTCCCATCAATGATGGGGAAACAAAGGCCCAGTGAGAGTTAGAAATGGACAATGGAGTTCTGTGTTTATCCCACAGATATGGGTTATGCTGGTGCTGGCTGAGCCCATCTGCACTTTCCCCCAGAGAGCTATGTGACCTTGGCTGGGCTATTTACACCCCTCTGGATATGGAAGGAAAGGAGCAGAGGGCTCAAGGCCGTACTGCTGGGGAGTGAGGGTGGTGGCGGCTGAACTGACTGGGAAGGAAGCCGGCAAGACTGAGACTGAACTCAGGAGGAAGGGCGGGACAAGGGGACCAGGGCTGGACAAGAACAGCAGGTTCTTGTCAAACACACAATTTAATTCTGAGGCTATATTCCTTGTGCCTGGGAGATTTTCAGCTTGCAATAGTGTCATTTACAGACGGATTTGCAGCGGCGAATTACAAGTTTGTAAGCAACAGCTTCTCTGACGCCTTGAAGAAAAAAAGCCTTATCCCTCTGCAAATTATAAATTCATAACTAACAGTGTTATCCAACTGAATGCAAAACAAATTCATTACCAGTTACATTATTCCATTGAATACCAAGTGAATGAACTTCACAGGGTTTTGTGCATATCAGGGACATGTTGAGAGATGGGAACGAAAGAGCACTCCCCCTCTACTGGCCTCTCCTTTTTGTCCTTTCAGGCCCCCTCAAGCTGACCCAGAAGGTGGGCAGAACTGGACAGATGTACACTGCTTGAATGAAAAGGTCACTTACAGTTATGATGGCGATGGTGGCGATGGTGATGATGATGGTGCTGGTGGTGTACCAAAACCAACGACCACACTGCGATTATGTGTGTGCCTCTTATATGATTATTAGGATTGCTGTGGTGTCATCTTAAGACACTATCTTGTGAAGGCTTACATGCCTAAGTCCCTGTGAGTGGCAGGACACCCCTGAAAAGGGGGATCACCTCCTGTCGTTCACCGTGCAGGAAGATGTGGGTCCTCTGAACTTCTCATCAGAGTGACAAGGTGGGGCTACATTTAGGCATTGGAGCGGGGATTCCCTGTGTCTCTCCAGAACTTTCCTCTCTTGGGATCATGCTTCAGAGTGCTGAGACATCTAGATAGATGCTTCTGGGTGCTGGGTATCAAGACAGTGCCCACAGTGTGCAAACAGCCTGGGGTCTGTGGGAGAGGACATAGGCCACATTTTGTAGCCCAAATTCTTCACTTCCCTCTGACTTGATGATGTATTCCCCATTTGTGGTCCCTGATATTTACTATTTTTATTTTCTGTTTCTTTTAGAAAATTAGAAGATACAAAGAAAACTAACAAATATATAAGTCATCCCTAATTTTTTTTTTCCACCAGAAAGAACCACTTTGGGTTGGATCAGACCTGAAACTTGGCCCCTTTTCCAATTCTCACAGAAAAATCCTTCATTCAGAAACTCTGAGCATCCAGTAGACTGGACTGAAATTTTGGTGTGGGGGAGAAGAAGAAATGGTTCATACTGTAGTGACATGAACAACTTTAATTATTTATTTATATTTTTTGTAGAAATATAATTTTTTGTAGGGGGTCTCATTATGTTTCCCAGGCTGGTCTCGAACTCTTGGTCTAAAGCAATCCTCCCTCCTCGGCCTCAACAGGCATTTTTCTTGGCATCTGCCCCATCTCCTCTATGCTAACTTCTTTGGCTTTCCCTTCTCCTCTGATCATCTCACCTTTCTCTTCCATCTTCCTCAGGAGCAAAAGGAATTCCTCTCCTTGTCTCGTGCTTAGTGGTTTGCAATCACCGTATATCCAGATGACCAGAGTTTTTTTTTTTTTTTCCCCAAAGACAGTTTTCCGTCTAAGAAGAATTTTGATGCCAGGTGTGAAAATATTTTCACCTTGTTTCATGAAGACATTTACAGTTTTAGAACTAGAGGATAATTTTATAAATGCTGATATGAAACCTGCTTTTGCTCATTAACAATATAGAGTCAGCATATTTTTATGTCAATAGGTAAATCTATATTCCCTGTTTTAATGGCTGCATATTAATCCATATAGTTTCTTCAAACAATCTCTCTCTCTTTTTTTTTTTTTTTTGCTATACATTTTGGCTGTTTCCAATGATTGCTATTATAACATCCACACATCATCTTTGCAAATTTATCTAATTATTGCCTTAACTTCTTAGACATAAGATGTCCGAGAATGCACTTTTCAAATATTTTTCTTGTATTGTCCAGCTACCCTTCAGGAAGTTCGTGCCAGTTTATACTCTCATCTGTTGTTCAATATTATTGTCCCACTTACTATGAATGCTCTATCTCTATCTCAGCTGTGTCTTGAGGTGTTAAAGAAAGAGCTCCTAGGGCCAGTTTGGTGGCAACAATAGCCAATTAGTGTGAGATTATCCAAAGGATGCAGAATCCTAGGGAGCAAGAATGGGGGCTGTGAGGTCCAGCTGCTCCACTCTATGTAGGTTCTTTTATGGCCTCTCTTGAAGAATTTGAAATTGATTGCTTGATTGATTTTATGAAGGAACACATTATTTCCCTCCAAATGATGGTAGTGGTGATGAGTGCATGGTCATGATGATAGCAATGTGTGATCATGACAGTGTGATATTGATGAGGGTATGGACAATGGTGGTAACAGGTTAACAGTGGTTCTGATGGTGAGTGCTGTGCCAATGATGGAGATGGTGGTGGTGCTGGTGTTGACAATAGGATGGCAGTTATGGTGGTGGTAGTGGTGACAATGTTGGTGGTGATGACTTATGATGATGGTAAGAATGGTGATGGTAACTGTGGTGGTAAAAGTGAGTTCAGCACTGATGAGGGAGATGGTGGTGGTGGTACTGACAGGAGGGTGGTAGGAATGGTGGTTGTGGTGACAGCCATGTTGTGATGGTGATTATGAAGGTGGTGAGAATGGTGTTGATGACAGTGGTGGTGATGGTAGAAATGGTGGTGTGGAATTGACTGTGGGGTGGTGGTGACAATGGTGAGAAGATGTGACGGTGGAGAGGAGCAGTGTGATAGAAGGGGGATGGTGGTTGTTCATCATAGTGGTGAGTGGAGTTGGTGCTGATGGGAAGCCTGGTGCTGATGGTAGTGCTGGGGTGTTGTGTAAATAGAAAGGTGAAAGTGCATAGATGATGGTGAAGGAATGTAATACAGGATTAAAATAGATACAAAGGGAGGGAGAGGTTGTCTTAGGAATGTGAATAAAGGAAGCAGCATGTTCTAGACCTAGAATAGCGAGGAGACCTGCTGGCCAGAGGGGATGGTTGGGGAGACGTGCAGTGGGAGTGGGTGCTGGGAAAAGTCCTGGAGGTAGTGAGAGGAATGTGGACTCCAGGAGGGCAGCACAGGGAGGCATTCTGGGTCCTGGGAGGGATAGGCCAGAGCCGGGTGGCCTGCTAGAGAAGAGAAGTGGATGAGGAGCTGGCTGTTGGCCCTCATGCTGGCCTCAAATGGAGGCAGAAGGTGGGCTGAGTCCTCTCCATTGTGGGCAAGCGTCCCAGGCATGCTGGCAGCATGGAGGAAGAGTGTGTGAAGGGCCTTCAGTAGTTGAGCCAACCTTAGAATGCATGGGCATGGGGAGAGCCCAATCAATACCCTGTGCTCTTGTACCGGCTGTACCTGGCAGCTCCTGCTCTCACCTTTGCTTGAGAGGGAGAAGGGTCTGGAGCAGGGACCCAGAGCTCCAACTCCCTTCTCTCCCCCAGTTTCCTGCCTCCCAACAGCTCCCTGAATCTCCAGTAGGCAGTTTTTGTTCAGTAGCATTGCCTGGAGCCCCTTCCCCACCTTTCCAGGTACAGCATGAAGCTATTTGGTGTGTACACAAAGCTGCAGGATTCACTTTTCCTGGGCACAGATGCCTGAGAAACTTCAGGGAGGCGGAAGGCGTGTGTCTGAGCAGCCATGATCTGGGCATCAAGGGGTTAACCCATCCCTGAGGGCTGGGCCAGGTCTTTCCCTGGACTGAGCCCTGCCCTCCTGTTCCTCCATAGAAGCCACTGGAGTCAACTAGGAGCTCACTTTGTGGGAGGGAGAAACGTTTTTTCTCTTATTTGAATGGTGCTGGTGACCTCACAGGGTTTCCATGGTGACAAGACCAAGGGAGCCAGGGGTACTTGGTGAATTAGGCCAAACAAACCCACCTCCAAGAGTCTTCTCCCAGACGCTGAACTTGAGGAGGAGGACTCCAGGTAATCAGTGAGCTTGCCGAAGAGGGAAGGCTGAGGGCTGGGGACATGCCAGGCCAGGACCTGCAACAGAAACCGCTGCCCCACCTTTCCTTTCTGTGCCCCACCTCGTCCTGCCTGAAAAGTTCCTTTCCGTGAGGGCTTGGTGCTGAGTGTGGCCCTCACAGGGATGTCTGTGTGGTCACAGAGCACCTGTGGGAGGGCAATTCTGACCCCAAGGTAGGAAACAGTGATCGGGTAATTGTAGGCACCAAGGCAGATGAGAAGACCAAGGTGGGTGAGCAGCAGAGTAGAGGCCTGGTAGTGAACGGAGAAAGCCATGAGAGTCTGGTTGGGAGTGAGAGCCCTGCTCTCCGAAGCTTGGCTTTCTCAGGAGCAACTGGGTTCTGGAACTCGGGAACACAAGACCATGGGATCCAAGTGACCAGGGTTTGAAACTAGGTGTAAATAATGCCTACGCTCTTTGGTAGTAGCCTACATGGGACATCACAGGGAAAGCACCGAGTAGGTGCTCAATATGTGTTTGTTTCCTTTCTCCTTCCCTTCTTTTCCTCCCCACCACTCAACAGCCACAGCCTCCTCAAGAAGTTTGGAGTCTGCATTGAACTCATTAATTTCCAGCTTCTGGCCGGGCGTGGTGGCTCATGCCTGTAATTCCAGCAGTTTGGGAGGCCAAGGCGAGTGGATCACCTGAGGTCAGGAGTTCGTGACCAGCCTGACCAACATGATAAAGCCTTGTCTCTACTAAAAATACAAAAATTAACTGGACATGGTGGTGGGCACCTGTAATCCCAGCTTCTTGGGAGGCTGAGGCATGAGAATCACTTGAACTTGGGAGGTGGACGTTGCAGTGAGTGGAGATCCTGCCACTGCCCTCCAGCCGGGGTGACAGTGTGGGACTCCATCTCAAAAAGAAAAAAAAAATTCCAGTTTTCAATTATTTGATCCTCACATAATTCAATGTCTAAAATATTATACTCCTACATATTGTCCTAAAAGTCTACCATGGAAGCTCCAACCATTGCTTTGCACCAAACCTCCTTGTAAATGGCAACATCTTGTCTGGAAGTAATTGTCTTGTTCCCTGGACAAGGGCAATTGTTTGAGTGGATGGGGAGCAAATGGGGTGAGGTGGGGTAGGGTGGGGCGGGGTGGGAGGGTAGACGGGGGGCAATGAGTGATGTCTTGTTTGTTTGACTTTTGTTTTTTCTTTTTCTTTCTCTCCTCTCCTCTCCTCTCCTCTCCTCTCTTCTCCTTTCTTTTCTTTTCTTCTCATGCAGATGGGGCCTGTGAGTGAGGAGGACAAAAGAGAAAGGAGAAGTTTGGTTGGAAATCCCAGAGATTGTTCATCATGTGAGAGGAGCCGTGCATGCATTTCATGCCATACTCACACCATGGATGGAGAAAAAATCAAGGTTCACTTTCTGAGAATGGCCCTGGGGGCACTGAAGCTAGTGCCTGTGCATCTGCAGCCCTGCCGAATGCCTCCAGGTGAATCATGCCACCCCAAGCAAGAAAGGGCCCAGTTGCCAGGAGCCTGGAGGCAGAGAACTGAGGAGCCAGCCCCTGACATCAGAATGGAGCTTAAAGGTTGGCTGGGTGTGACTCTTTGCTGTGGACAGGTTCTCTTGGGAAATCTACTTTAATGAATCCAGAGGAGCAATTTGTAATCAGCCCATCAAATGTTCAGTGACACTTAGCTGGAATCTCATTGCTGGACTCTGTGTCCCCCAGTGGATGACAGTTCTCCATCAGGGTCTGCAGTTCTCTACCCTGGACCTGCTGCATCCTGGAGCCCCCAGCAGTCAGGTGCTGGCTCTCAGAACTGCCTGCGTCCCATTGCCCTGAGCTGCTGTCTGCCAGGGCTGCTGGTAACCAGGCCCACAGGGCTGGATATTCCCCCAACAGGGCAGCTCCCAGTCCAAGCCCAATTGTTACCAGCCCAGAAAGATGTTTCAGGATACCCCTTTCCTCCCAGCTTCCCTGCCCTCTGCAGCTCCAGCTGGTGCACCCCATCTTCCTCTCCCCCTCCCTGCTAGGCTGGGCCCCAATAGGAGACCTTTGAGGTGCCTGAGCTTATTCTCTGACCTTGAGTACCCTTGAGCTACTGCCTCACTCTATTCCTCACTTTTCTTCTTCTTAAGGTTTCTAATTGGATTTTGCCAGTGTATTTATTTCAAAACTTGTCATCTTACTGACCTCGCTCATAGTCTCTTATTAGTTTTCAAGTTGATTCTCCTGAGTTTTCTGGATAAACAATAATATCATGTACAAATAATGATGGCAATTTCTCCTCCTTTCCAAATGTTGTGTTTCCCTTTCTCTTTTAATGTACTCTTGCCTTGGCTAAAACTTCCAAAACAATGTGAAATAATTGTGATAATAGCAGGCTTTCTCATCCCACCCTCACTAAAATATGAATGACCCTGGCTAGATGTGTTATTGCTAAGAATGATGTTGATGGTTGGTTGCACATAGGTTTTTAAAATTATTATTATGCCAAGGAAATGTTCTTTTATTTTTATTTTACTAAGGGTTTTCAGCAGAGTGGATATTCAGTTCTATCAAATGAGTTTTTGATGTCAGTTAAGATTATCACAAAACTATTTCCTTTCTGGTAATTGACATGATTAATCATAGGGACTGATTTTGTGATATGTAAATGTCATCACTTCTAACGTAGACATCTGTGAACTGGGGAAGAGATCCATTGCCGGGGAGAATCTGGGTTGGCTGGATCTGTAGTGTGCTGAGTCCCATGGATGTGAACTAGTAACTTTTCCCTTGTCACCCCCTGCTCCAGGATGGCCTGTCGGGCGGAGCACTGTGATGCTTAAGGGCTTGAGCTGGGGCTCTGGAGAGCTGGATGGGGTGTCAGTTTGTCCCAGGGTGATCTTTCTAAAGGCCAGTCTGATCACGTGACTCCCTTTAGTGGCTCCCCATTGCCTTCAGCAGGAAACTCGAGCTTCTGTGTGCATTTTCCAGGCCTCTTACAACTGGCCTCTGTCCACACCCCACCCCTGCTTTTAACCCCTAATATCTCCCCTAGAACCATACAGGACCAGAACTCCTGGAAGGCGGCTCCCCAACGTCTCCTATGCCTCCAGCCCTCTCACTTGGCTGCTCCCCTGCCTGGAATGTCCTTTCCACCTTCCTTCCCAGGCAGGACTTATCAGTCCCTGCTCCTCTGACCTCGCAAAGCTCAGTTACCTGCCTCTTTGCTACTTACCAGGGGGAGGGTAGCTTCTATGTTCACCTCTATCTCTAGAAGCCCCAGGAGTTGAGGAACAGCCTGATCCACCCCATCTCATCTCCCAGCCCAGTGTCTGCCCCGCCGCAAATGTTTCTCAGTCAGCCCTAGGTTAAACATTTTGTTCACACTCGTGGACCACCTGCTTGACCCACCTCCTGTAACCCACAGGGTTCGCTGTCCCACTGGTGGGCGCTGAGAGGCCCCAGGCGCAGGCCTCACAGGCGGCTGCAGCCCCCTGGAGCCTCTTTAGAAAATGCAGTCGGCCTTGTTTCCTCCTCAGAAACAATGACTTAGCACAGCGTCCGGGCCCCAGGGGAGAGTATTACCCCCTCAAAAGCTGCTGCCATTGGAGACGCAGTAGAGGAAGCCAAGTGGGCCCAGGAGGGACCAGATGACTCGGGATAGATGGGAGGGAGGGAGCCGGAGAGGCTGTGATAGGCTGCATCCCTTGGGGTTTCCTGCACATCCCAGATGCTGGCACCTGCTCTGGGCCTGGGCCTGGCAATAACTCTGTATCTGGCTCTCCACCGGGCCTCAGGTTCATCCCCTGATTCCCCCAGAGTCTTCTCACCTCACTCTCCGTGGGATCCATTTTCAACTCTCTGTGTTCCCCCCAACTACTAGGCAGCCAGCTAGAGTCCTCACCGCTTCAGATAAGCCGATACTGATGAAGCATCCCAAGTCTGAAAATCTGAAACCTGCAATACTCCAAAATTTGAAACTTTTTGAGCGTGGACATGATGCTCAAAGGAAATGCTCATCAGAGCATTTCAGATTTGAGATTTGCAGATTTGGGATGCTTAACCAGTAACGATTTGTAAATATTCCAAAATCTGAAAAAAAAATCCCCAATCGGAAATACTTATGATCCTAAGCATTTTGGATAAGGGATGTTCAACCTGTATCAAATGGAGGCCTGCTTGGCTGCTAAGCCTGGGGTGGGACAAGAGCAGCCCAGACCTGCCTCTTCTTTTTTGCTCTCTCCTTCATCCAAGCAATCCTGAGTTACACAACACATTCCTGGCTACAATATAATAAGAGGTTAGGTGACATGACTTCAAGGGCGTCGGAGTTGGGTTGTGGAGTCTGGCAGACCCAGGTTCAAATTCTAGCTCCACCTCTTGCTAACTGTGTGATTTGGGGCAAGTTACTTAGCCTCTCTGAGCCCCAGTTTCTTCGTCTGTGAAACAGAGTACCTACCTATGGAGGTGTTGTGAGGATTACATGAAATGACTGACTGACTATAAAGCACTTAACAGAGTGCCCGGAATGTAGTAGGAGTTCAATGGACGTTAGCTATTTTATAAGTTACAGGTCAGCTCAGGCTGGGCCATAGCTGTTGCTTCATGCATGGGCATGCATGGGCGGAGAAACTGAGGCCCAGAGAGGAGCAGGACATCACATTGCTGCGTCCCCTTCATCGGCCTGGGCTGACACCTACTGAGGAGCTCTCTGCTGTAATGGTTTAAATCACAACGAGCCTGACGCATGGAGTCTTGGATCTTGGGCTTGCCTTCTGCACAACCTGGCAGCCTCTTATTTAACAAACCTTTACATTGCACTAAATGCCAGGCACAGTTATAAGCCCTTTATATGTATAATAACAATATTATGCATATTAACCTTAATCCTTCTAGCAAACCTGTGAGAGAGGTACTATCAGTATCCCCATTTTACAGATGAGGGAATGGAACAGTTCGAGGGCTTGCTTGCTTAAGGTCACACGGCTAGCAGGTGGGAGGGCCACTCTTCACCAGCAGGGATGCCACTGACAAGGTTTCCACCCTGAGGTGAACACAGCCTGGGCTCTGCGGTGTGATCACCGCAGGGTGATCTGGGGTGTCTGGAGCACCTGAAGCCTGTCTTCTCCCTGCACCTTGATGCTCGGGTGGAGGAGGCATTTTGGAGGGGACTTGGTGGCTTTGACTGGGCACAGTGGGAGCATCTGCTTTGTCCTATTAATGCCATTCACTAGATGCCACATCTCAGGCCACAGCAGGTATTTCCCTCGAGAGAGAACAGTGAAAACTTGGAACAGAAGAGGTTTTTATTATTCAGAATAACTGCACTATTTAATTTACTATTAATAATAGCTCTTGAGTCAACCTTCTCCTAAAGAGAAGTGAGAACTGAAAGGATGTCCCTCTCTCTTCTCCCCTCCTCCCTCCTTTTCTGCCTCCTTACTTCAGAATGCTGTGAACTCAGTCACGAATGATTGAGCTGTTTTGGGGGTAGGAGTGGGAGACATGGAGGCCCAGCTCATGCAGTGAGCCTGGTTACTCCTCCTCCCTGCAGAGCCTTGCTCTGCTGCTCCTCAGGGGTCCCTGGAGGCCACGACCCATCTGCTGTCAGATCCCTCGGGGTGAGTATGACCCTGTCCTCCTAGGCTGGGCTGGAGGCTAGAGGCCAGGAGGCTGCTTCAGCTGCAGCAAAGGGAAGGCTGCACTCAGCAATCCTTGCCCTACTTGTCCCGAAGGCAGTAGTGTGTGTGCTGAAATAAGAAGGCAGGGATCCCTTCAGAGACCCATCTTCTGCCCTCTGCATCCAGTGAAGGACTCAGTGTAAGAAGAAGCACGTCCAGAAAGGACTAGAGCCAGGAATGAGACTTGAACCCAAGTTATGGGAGGATTTGGCTTAGAGTTCAGAAGAGTTGGGGGACCGAGAACTGCTTTCAAAGAACCAGAGGGATTTGGTTCTTTATCCACAAGCCCTCACCGAGGGCCTGCTCTTCCAGGTGCTGGGAACATGTGAAGCTCCCAGAGGGGCAGAGGCAGTGAGATATAACTAATGCCACTGTAAGGCAGTGCTCCAAGGGCAGGACCACCATGTCCGGTGGAAATCATAGGAGGTGAGGACTTGGCTTGCCTGATTCAGAGCTAGATGGGCCTCCTGGCTCCCTGAGGCAAGGGATACAGATGGTCTTCTAGGGTTGACTTTAGCCTTTGGGCGTTTATTCAACACATCACCCACGCTCCTGGCACCAACATCCTTGACTCTGCCTTCTGTATTGGGGCCCTCTGGGATCTCAGGTGTGTCAGGTGACCCACTGGGGCTGACCTTCCAGAAGATAGAGCCCTGTTTCTCTCTTTCTCCTAATACCCAACTGTGCAGAGCTAGAGGACAGTGGCTGTCCCCACAAAGGTCTCTCACGGCTGCAGACCAGCATCCTGTCCACCTCCTCTCACCCCTGGGATATGATATAGTCAACCAGCCTGCTCTCCTCTTGTCAACCTCCTCACACCCTGCCCATCTGTAGAGTGGACTGAATCCTAGATATCCTTAGGTGATTGAAGAGCGCTTTCTAACACTCTGCTGTGGGGTGGTTTCCGTCTGGCTTTCCGAACGTGCCAGAGCCG